AGAGAGCGCGAACTTAACCTCTTGGCCACGGGGCTGGCCTCAATTTTTTTTTTTCCCTTTTCTTGAAGGCTAACCATGTTTGAAGCTGGATAGCTCTATTGTCCCGTCCTGTAGATCCCAGAAATCTGACAGCCTTCCTTCATTCCATTTTCTCTATCCCGTTTAGTCCCAGCTGGCAGTCCTTCTGCTGGTATAATCCCATCTCTATTCCTGGCTTCAGCTGAGATGGCTAATTAAATTTGCGGGTAATCTCTTAATGGAATGATGGTCCAGCCACGCCCTTGGTGTTTTCTCCAGGACGTGCTTTCCCAGTTTTGCAACATGGATAGGCTGAGAATTTTCCAGATCATCAAGTTCTAGTTCCTTTTTGCTTAACAATTCCTTCAATTTGTCTCTCTCCTCTCACATTTTATTTGAAGCAGTAAGGAGAAGCCAGGCCACATTTTTAACCCTTTGCTTAGAAATCTCCTCTGCTAAACATCCAAGGTTGTCACTCACAAGTTCTACCTTCCACCAATATATATATATATATGTCTATATAGATAAAGAAATTTATGATAAGGAATTGGCTTATGCAGTTATGGAGCCTGGCAAGTCCAAGATCTGCAGAGCCAATGTCCCATTTGGAGTCTGAAGGCTGGCAGGCTGCTGTAGAAGCAGGAAAAGCCAGTGCCTCAGTTTGAAAGCTGTCAGGTAGGCAAATTCCCTCTTGCTCAGGGGAGGGTCAGCCTTTGGTTTTAGTCAGGCCTTCAACTGATTGGATAAGGCCCACCCACATTATGGAAGGCAACCTACTTCACTCATTCTACCAATTAAATGTTAATCTCATTCAAAGATACCTTTCCAGAATAATGTTTGACCAACTATCTGGGCACTTCGTGGCCCAGTCAAGTCAACACATAAAATGAACCATCACAGGACTCACACCAGAAAATAGATGTGATTGAGGCTTAATGAGTATGCCGGACCAGTGTAAGGGATTAGCACCAGAGCTGGCATTGTAATTTGCCATTCATTCTTTCCATACACATTTATTACACACCTACTACAAGCATCTCAGTTATCTATTGCTGTGTAACAAACTGCCCCAAAACTTAGAGGCTTAAAACAGCAAAAAGTCTCAGGACTTTGTGGATCAGGAATTTGGGTGAGGCTCCGCTGAGTGGTTCTTCTGCATCAGCTTGCATCACTCCTTCACCTGGGCAAGGCTGGTAAGGCCAAGAAGTCTTCACTAAAATATCTAGTGTCTCAGCTCCTCCACGTGGCCTCTCTCTCTCTCCAGATGCTGCCTTGTCGTTCATTGGTCTGCCCACGCTTCTTTACCGTTTGGTGGCTGCCTCCCTGAGAGAGTTCCAAGAGGACAAACCTCAAGAGGAGAAGCAAGCATTTGTCAGATCTATGCTTGCACCGGGCTCCTTGTGGCACATTGGCCAGAGCAAGTCACATGCCCAAGCCCACATGTGGGAAAGGACTATACAATGGCATGAATACCAGAATTTGGGGTTCCTTGGGGGCCCCTAATGTAACAGCCCACCAACGTATGACTCTTATAACACCAGTATATATGATGCATTATCACATCAGTCCTGACTCTTGCCCTCAAGGATCTCACAGTCCAGCACAGCATTTCCAAACGTATTGGACTACAGCATCTTAACGTCATTCCTGCAGTGAGCAAGCCCCCATATGACTTCCTGGCATCTTTGGGTAGAGCATCCCATTCTGTAAAGACGGCTTCTCATATGATGATAAGTGTAGGAACGTATTTATCACTTTTCACACACATACTTTTTCAAAATAAATTTTAAAGGAAAAACATTGCTAGTTTTGTATATTTGTGGGAGAATGCCACCTTATATTCCATGACATCCTAATGTTGCTCAGAAGATAGTTTTGGAAATGCTGGCCTTATGATTCCTAGTAGGAATTTAAAGCTCTTTTGGCTCCTAGGACCACAGACCCTAGTGGCTCGCAGTGGGTGGTGGATCGGAGACAGCTTGTCACAGGGCCTGGAAGGTCTGGGCTTTCTGTGGGACCATCTGTTTCATTTCCGTGGCCATGAGCGACGGGAGGTCAGGGATCATCATTCCTACACCACATCTGACAACACGGGGGGCTGGGACAGCACATGCCAGTTGACCTAACACATCATCCTCTGTCATCCTATGCCCTCTCTGCACCTGGCACCAGAGGGTGCCACATGTTTCACACACTAAACAATACCCATCCCACCACATATGACCCCACTTCAGAAGGATTGAGGACATCAGGAGGCAGTTTTCAAGGGCTCAAAAGTTCCATCCCAAAGCCAGTCTCTGAAGCACTGCACAGAGAGGCCCCAGCACTGATCAGAGCGAGCAGGGCCAGCAGCCAGCGGACCAAGGTTGCTCAGAGTGGGCTTGCCCAGGTTGCCTGAGGCAGAAGCCCCAGTGGTGACCAGGAGATTCCAGTGCATGAGGCTGGAAGCCCAGGAATCTGCATTCTTAGCCTCCACCGTGGCTCACAGGGTGCTAGCCCCTCCCCAGATTTAGGGTTTCCATGTGGCTATTTCTGAAAAATCCCCATGGAGTGGGGGCGGGGGAGGGACACCAAACCTGAGATGTGGCGCTAGCTGATGTCTACCTGCAGGCAGGACGCAGGTGGCCAGCAGCCCAAGATTCGACTTGTTTCACGAGCCAAATGGACGTTTATTTTCATACTCTTGAGAGATATATATTTCTGTTACAACTTCAGAGACAGCTTGCCTCTACAGGTTTCCTTCACAGAACAGTCCCCCGAGATTAAATCTGTTTTGAGTTGTATTTTGAAAAAAGAGGAAATTGGATCCTGGCTCTGGGTGGGATGAGGGGTGAGGGGAAGGGAAGGGAAGTTCAGAAAGAAGGCAAAAGCCACAGATTTCCAGAAACTTCCTCGTATTTTCCTCCCCTCTGCATTTTATCCTGCTCACTCTCACCCCACCGAGACAAGACCCAGCTCTGGCTTGGACACATCTTCCCTCCGTCCCTGCCTCCCCCCCTTCACCCCACAGGTGCCCACCGCTCCTCTCAGACCCGGGCCCGGGGAAACAAGTCAGACAAAGTCAAACGCTGTATGATCTCACTTACATGTGGAATCTATAAAAATGGAACTCGCAGACACAGAGAACAGATTGGTGGTTACCAGAGGTCGAGCGGCGGGGTGAGTCAAGGTGGTCAAAAGGTGCAAACTCCCAGTTATAAGATTAATAAATTCTGAGGATTTAATGCACAGCATGGTGACTACAGTAACAATACTGTATTGTATATTTGAAAGTTGCTAAGAGAGTGGATCTCAAAAGTTCTTGTCACAAGAGAAAAAAATTATATTATGTGAGGTGATGAATAACTCTACTTATTGTAGTAATCATTTCACAATATATATATATGTATATCAAATCATTGTTTTACAGCTTAAATATACACAATATTATATGTCAATTATATCTCAATAAAATTGGGAAAAGTAGAAATTAAAAATGAGTTCAGGATTAACCCCAATGTCAAATATTTGGAATGCAGATATGGTGGATTAGCTCAGCCTTATGTTTTAACCAACCGTCACACTGGGGCTAGAGTAAATATCCTACAAGAGGACGATATTTATGAATTCCAAAAGGTCCTTGTTATAATGTCCTTATTCCTGTGACAATACCCTTCTCAAATTGCTTATGTACTTTCACATCTGCATTTGTGTTGTATTGTGGGAGTCGTTCCCCTACTTAAAAAAACAGTAGAAGAACCGGGCCCTGTCTCAGCCGTTACCAGCTCTGCCTGAGGCTCTCCCCTCAGGGCCTTCTCGCCAGAACACCCCAGGCCCCAGGGTCCTGGGCTGACTGTACACTCCAGCACTAAGGAGATGCTCAGAGGGCAATGCTCAACCCGAGGGCTACCCTGCCGGTTCAGCAGTGTGGGTGGGAGCATGCTTGGGGTCTTCCCAGAGGTCTTGGGGGCAGACACAGTCCACCACACTCCAACCCACGCCCTCAGGTGGCCCATCACGTTTCCCTCTGGTTTCTCCCTGTTTCTGACTACGGGTGACTCTTGTCCATCCTCCATTCTAAGTCCTCTTGTGGGGCTTCCCACGAGAGCAGGTGCCCTTAACCTGGGACCACAGACACTCCCCTGGAGGTGTGTGGATAGAATTCAGGGGGCCATGACTTTGGATGGGAAAAAATACATCTTTATTTTCACAAGCCTCTAACAGAAATTTAGCATTTCCTTTCATTGTAAGTGTAGGGAACAATCTACAGTAGTATTTGCAGAAAGTATGACTTTGTCACTAATAGAAATCCCTGACATTTTTCAAACACATTAGAGTTGTTTCAAGGTCTTTTGAAACACCAGTTTACACATCGCTACTTTAAAATGGGCACCACTAAAGTGTCAAGAAATAAGAGCAAATGTCACTACATCGTCAAGCTGTTTCCTCAATGTTTTCATATCTGTATTTTCGTACCATTGGCTTCTTTTGCAGTCTTGTAGATTTCATTTTACGCATTTGAAAACATTATTCCAAGAGGGAGTCCATAAGCTTCACCAGATGCCCACTGACTCCACAGTACATGAAAGGTCAATTTCTAGAGTCCTCAGTCCTAGTAGTCCTCAGACTTTTTCCAGTGTGAAAACCCCAAAAGTGTGCCTCCCCCTAGTAATTACACATTGGTATTCTCTAGATGAGGAAGAGCTGTAATAGTCAAAAGCTATTATTTAATGCCTGCCTTTAAACAAATTTGCATTTTATTCTTCACAACAGTATCTCTTGACCTTTTTCTTTGTTTTTTTTTTTTTGGTGAGGAAGGATGGCCCTCTATGCCAATCTTGCACTTTTTGCTTGAGCAAGATTGTCCCTGAGCTACGACCTATGCAAATCTTCCTCTGTTTTGTATGTGGGATGCCACCACAGCATGGCTTGAGCAGCGTGCAGGTCTGTGCCTAGGATCTGAACCCAGGAACCCTGGGCCACCAAAGCAGAGCGCACAAACTTACCAACTCTGCCACCGGGCCAGCCTCAGAATCTCTTGACTTTTAAAAAACAGTGGCCGCATCTGTAGGAGAGCTCTCATTGACCAGTTTGGTTTTGAGACCCTACACTAACCCTGATTCCACACTCGGGTCCACTGAGTTAGGGCATGTGGACCTGCCAGGCAGAGGGCATGAATCTCAGAGTGGGTTACTCCCATTGCTCTTGGCGCAAGGCTGGCCCCAGGAAACACGACAGGGACGAGGTGACTTGGGTTGGCCTGAGTTGGCTGTGCTCAGGTGGAACACGACTGGAGCCTCCACACTTCTCCACCAGCCCCCAGCCTACTGGCCCTGAAGTGAAGTTGCCAGAGTTAGCAAATAAAAATATAGGGTGCCCAGTTAAATTTGAATTTAAGGCAAAGAATGAATCATTTTTTAGTATAAGAATGTCCCATGCAATATTTGGGATACACTAATACTAAAAAAATTAGTCACTGTTTATGGGGGGAACCCTCCCCTCTAGGAGTCTGTTCCCAGAGAAGTCCCTGCCCAAGCCCAGTTGAAGGCTGTGCCCGGCCCAGGTTCTCTGTCAAGACTCCCACCTCAGCCTGAGGGACCATTCAGGGTAGGGAGTGGGGCCGGGGAGACTCCTGACAGCAGCCCACAGCCCTGGCAGTCCAGAGCTCAAGCCGTTCCCATCACTGCCTATGTCTCAGACACACCCCCACCCCATCTGTAAAATGAGAGAACTGGTCCAGGGTGGAACTCGAAACCCACTCCTTGCTCAGTTAGATTTAATAAGTACTATTTACCTTAGGAAAGAAGAATCTTTAACCTCTGCTCGTCTGAAAGGACCTTTCCAAAGCCAGCCCTCCTGAGGCAGCAGCCTGGGCCCCCTCCTGGCTCAGCTCAGCCCTGGAGCGCCTCACTCAGCCGCAGCTCCCACCAGTCAAACCCACAATGACACCTTTGGAAAGGACCCAACTACCAGGTACCCCAAAACACACACAACTGCAAAAGCAGAGGGTCACGCAGACGCATTCGCTTAGGAAAGAAAGAGGCAGATAAACCCAGACACACACAGAAGCCCTCACACGCACCGGACGGGAAAAGTGCCCACTTAGCAAACACCCAGCACACATACCCCACCCAGAGCACGCACGACATGCCACACACACACAGACTGAGCACAAATCACACTCGTGCTTTCTCACACACTTGCTGAAGGTGACAGCCAATATCAACCGTGTCCCCAGCCATCCCTCATCTGGGTTCTCAGCCTGAACCCCAAATGTCCAAGGTGTTTCTGGGGCTAAAGCTTCTCCCAACTGTGCCCTTCAAGCTGCTAAAAAAAAAAAAACCCTGAAGGTGTTCCCAAAGAACTTTGTTTTTCACATCAGGCTAAATCAATAGATTACCTGGAAGCTGTATTCTGGAAAGATGTTACCCCAAATGGTAAAGGTGATAATGAGGACGATGAAGATGACAACCACAACTGCCAGCATTTCTTGAGTGCCAGCCGTGCCCCCGGAACTGTGGTAAGGGCTTTCCATACATTACCTCAGTCAACCCTCCCAACAAGCCATAAGGCAGGAACTGTTATCATGCCCGTTACAGACAAAGAAACTGAGGCTCAGAGGAGTTAAATGAATGCCTCGGGAGAGATTCCAGCATCTGTCCCCAGGGCTGTCTAACTCTAAAACACAGCCTCACCCACAAGGCCACGCGGAAAGGTTTGGCCCCTGGGTGAGGCAGGTCTGTGAGCTCTGGGTCCTCTTGCTAACCAGAGACCCAGGGACACTCCGGGACTAAGGGGGCTGGAAGGGCTGGCTTCCGCCCACCCTCCTGGTGGTCCCTGCACCAGGGATGGGAGCCAGGCCCCTCACAATGGAGGAGCTCCTCATAAGAGGAGAGATTTATATCTGCTCAGCTCCCGAGAGTCCCGGTCACCGAGCCCACCCAGGGAGGGCACAGAGGAGGACCCTAAAGAGGACCTAGAGAGGGCTGTCTCAGGGAAACCAGCCTCTGGGACATTCTTAACCCCAACCAAAGGAGGGGGACACCCTTCTCAGCCTCCACCTCTGCACTGGGGCCTGGCTAACAGCTGTTCCCAGCTGGAGGCTCTCTATGCCCCCCACCCAGGCAGTCCCCGGGGACATGGAGGCAGCTTTGCTGAAGCCTATCAAAGCATTCTTGTTCTTACAGCTGTTTCCTGGGAGGGCAGTTGGAGCCACAATAACCCCCACATCTGTTTAAGGGGCTGGTGGCTGGTACTCCACCTTCAGCCCTTCGGGAGGGGTCCTGCCCATCAGCAGAGGGGAAAATGAGCACATCCGAGAGACACGGTTTAGAACCTTTGACCTTTAGGACTGGAAGGGGCCACCCATCCCCATTTTACAGGTGACTTAACTGAGGCCAAGCCACCCCCTGCTCCCAAAGGGTTCCCCCACACAGAGCCCGTTTCCCCACAGACTCTCTGGGTAGGCCCTGGCTCCTCCTCTGCTGGCTCAGATCGGCCTCCACTTATACAAGACATGACCAGCCCAGAAAGAGGTGTGATGAGGCGCGTGGGAGTGTAAAGGCTGCATGGACAGGAAGCCAGTGTTTACTCTGAGATGCCTGCTCTGGCTCCTTCTCCTGCATGAGCCACTGCCCCCTTCTTGGCCACTATTTTAATTCTCAATCTGTGGGTTTATTTAAATCAGTGTTTCTCAGCCTCAACATTGTTGACATTTGGGCCTGGATATTTCTTTGTGGTGGAGGCTGTGCTGTGCATTGTAGGGTGGCTAGCAGCATCCCTGGTCTCTACCTACTAGATGCCAGCAGCACCCACCTCCCAGTAGTGACAACCGAAATTAACTCCAGACGTTGCCAAATATCCCCTGGAAGCAAAACTGTGCCCAGTTGAGAACCACTGATTTAAGTTGACTTAAAGGAGCGTATATGGACTGTCCCCTGTGTCTCGCCCCGAGTACAGGGAAGGAGGTGATAGGTATTCCCTCCTGAGCCCTGGAGTTCCTATGGGGCAGAAATGATAATAAATGTACCCAGGACAAAGCAGGGTGTGCCAGGAGATCCTGCAGCAGGCGGAAGTCGGGGAAATCATTGAGGCTGGGATCCATCCAGGAAGGCTTCCTGAAGGAGGAGGAATACAATCTGGGCTTTATATATGCAGTCCGGGAAGGATGCAGATTAAGGGGAAAATCTCAAAGACAGTGAGCAGAGCCCAGGGTGGGGGGATGAGTGTAGAATTTCCAGGGAGGGGAGGCGGCCACAGGTGGCTGGATTTTAAGCTGGAGTGTATTATGGCTGCCTTCCTCGAGGGCGGGTCCTGGAGCCCAGAGCAGGGAAGATGTTGGGGATGAATGAGGAAAGGGTAGGTGGGGGGGACGGGGGAATGCCATATCTCTGTTTCTGGGGTGCAAGCAGGGGCTTGTGTCTCTCTGAATCCCCCGAACCCAACACAGAATCAGGCTAAGGAAATGCTGGATGATGAAGCTGCTGCTGATGTGGAAGAAAGGTCTGATGAGGAGGAAGGTGGGCATGGGCTCCAGAGGGCTGGGAAGACCATCCCGGATGTCGAGGGTGCTGATGAGGGGGCCCAGCCAGAGGGCGAGCAAGGGACCTGACCAGCCCTCACCCTGATTTCTCAGGGTCTGCCCTCACCTGAGGTCTCCCTCACGGCCCACGTGGGAGGGGGTGGGAGGGGAGTGGGAGGGAGCGCTAATGGAGGGGTCACTGCTGGGCTGGGAGCAGACCACATGGCTTCCTCCCAGGCTGCAGACCTCTCTCTCTGAAGGAGACTTCAGCGGGTTTGCCGGAGGAGACAGGTGACCTTCTTGGCCTAGGAAGCTCCCTTCTCAGACAGAAGCACTGGTTCCCTACCCCCAGTCTGGGCTTCCTGAGCCATGGGTGCACATCTGCCCTCAGATCCACCCTCAGAATGGGCTCCCTGAGGGCAGGGCGACACCTTCCCAGTGGTCCCCTTAGGGAAACACAAAGTGTGGGGCTGGGGCTGCCCACAGGGAGCTTCTGGACTGACTCATCAGCAGGGGGCGCTGTGGGCTCAGGCACGGGGCTTGGGCAGCTGGAAGGGTGGAGACTGGCCTGGCCTCCTTCACCTCCTGTCAAAATATATCCTGTTACATCTCCCACCCCAGCCAGGTTCAACTGCGTCCGACACAGCAGGGGCTCTACCTCCTCGCAACTTCCCAGCCTAACCCCATTCTCCTCCCCTCCTCCGGATGAGGAAGAAGGAGAAGGAATTATTATACCCATTTTGCAGATGAGAAGACTGAGTCATATGGATGCAGAAAAGACTGGAAGGAACAGCAGCAGGACAGAATGGATAGAGTCTTAGCTCTGGGGCCAGAATACTCAGGCTTACTAGCATGCCAGTTCAGCATCTCGCTCCCTGTGTGGTGGGGGCAAACTTTGGGGCTTTGTTGAGTAAACCACTGCAGTTGCTGTAAGGGAGCTGAGCGTGGTGGCCCTCACTGCCCCAGGCTGGGAACAATTCTGACACTGGGCATCACAGCCCCTGTGGACAGCACTGGGTCCTGGGAGGAAGGGCTGGAAAGGGGGACAAGGCGGGCTTGCCCCAGCCCTTGTCTAGGCAGAGAAAGCAGACAGCCAGAAAGGGGATTAACAGGGGGCTCTGAACAAGGGCAGAGGGGACAAAGGGGCTGGGCTGGAGAGCTGGGGGGAGGGGGCCCCAGGTGCCCGCTGTCCTGAGTTATCTGCACTTTCTCCCAGGTCCTAGTAATGAATAACAGCAGTGGAAGCCATGGGTGCCATTCACTGCTCTCACGGTATGTCCGGCTCTATGCCAAGCAGGCAACTGGCTCAGTTACCCATCCTGGGAAGCAGGCAAGGGTACCACCTCATTTGATAGACGAGAACAGGAAAGCTCAGAGAGATAAAGTAACTCGTCTGAGTTCCCCAGCAGGAAAGGGGCAAAACGGAATACCACCCAGGTCTGCCTGGCACGTACCCACCGCTCTCTTGGTGGAGTCAGGGTCGAGGCGGGTGCAGAGTGGCCGGGCAGAGCTCTGATGGCTTTCTCTGGGGACAGAGGTGGAGGAGAACCAGCCCTGGCCCAGGTATGCTATCTGGCCCCAGGATCGGCTCATCAGCTTGCAGGTTCACGGGAGTGACCTCAGTGGTGGGGTGTTTTGGTTTCTCTGTTTGTTTGTTTTTTTCCTTTTTCCTTCTAAGAACAACTCATTTTGGTCAAATAACTAGAGTAAAAGTGACTGGTGTTGAGAAATCTCCCCCTCCCCCTTCTCTGGCCCCAGGCAGTGACATTTGAGGAACTGTCTCCTGGGGCCACAGAGGATGCTGTTGACCCAGTTCAAAGGGTTGGCTCTTCTCCCTGCCCAGCCCCACCCACTTCCCCTCACCACCTCCCTCACCTGCCAAGCTTGGGCAGCCTCCCACCGGGGACTGAGGTCCCGCCCCAGCGGCCGAGCTGAGCCCCTCTCGGAGAGGGCAGAGCAGCACAGTGTGGGGAGAGAAGCTAAATTCTCCCCTCTCATCCCACCTGCGCAAAGAAGGAGACCGGGGTGAGGCTGAAATTGAACTGCACATGTCTCTAGTCACCTCTGTCACCACTCTACTGACCCCATGGCACCTTCCGTGTGCCACTGACCACAGGTCAGCATTGAGAAGGCTGACAAGGTGAGGGGAGGTGAAATGGAATGCTGGCCCAGAGAAGAGGGACTGGCTTAGGCTCCCAGGAGGCTGCCCAGGGGGACGGGGGCAGAGAAAGGAGTGAGGGCCTCTGAGGGAGCTGGGTCCTGGCGCAGAGGGGCTGGATGGAGAGGCAGGCAGAAGGCCAGCCCAGTCTGAGCCGGGGAGAGCCTGGAGACCCAAAGGCCCACCACAGAGGCTCAGAGGCAGCCAGGCCTGCACCAGACAGGATTGGGGAACAAATGTCTGAGCTAGCAGAGGGCTGGACTTGCGGACCGCACCCTAAGGCTACAGCAGGACACACCCAAGGGCAAGCAGCTTGGCCCATATGTGAACAAAGAGAGAAGGAATAAGCACGGGGCCAGGGCGGAGAGTGTCTCTCAGGACTTGACTCCAGATAGCATTTCCTGGGAAGTAAACTGAGGCCCCAAGGCAACAAAGCAAGAAACTAGGCCAAGCGCCTTGAGGCTAAAGGCCCAGTAACTGGGGGGCCCCATTTACCTGCCCTGGTAGCTTCTGGCCAATGAGAGACCTCCACCGCCTTTCCTTGCAGGATGTACCAGGCTGCAGGCTCCAGCGCAGAGAAGGAGAAGACGGAGGCGGTGGTGATGTCAACCAAGGAATTAAGTAAGCAGAGGAGCTGATAACACTGCCCGACAAGCCCTGCTGTGGGCAAGGTGACTCATCAGAGACGGGCCCCACATCACAGGGTAATTGTTGTTGTGCCCAGACTGTGGGACTGGGGGCGGGGTGGGGGGGGGGGGGGGGGACGAGTTCCTCACCGAGTCCTCTGCTCGGTGGAGAGGTCTCAGAACACAGTGTCCTCTGCCTCCTGCGCACACTGCTGGCTCAGGAAACAGTCCTCCCTCCGCTGCTGTGATTATCTTTGGCCACAGCGTTTGGTGTGTGTTTGTGGGGTGTGTCAGGGTGATTTCCCCACCTGTGTCCCGCTGGGCGCTCCAGGTACCAGCGATTGTTAACAGCAGCACTGTTGCTGCCCCTGGTTGAGCTGTCTATGGAAACAACGCCACCGGATGGCAGACTGCTGACCGCGACCACGTGGCGTCCTCGTGGAGGGTACAGCCTGTTCCTCCTGCAGCAGGCACCTGTAGAGCTGCCTCCACTCAGGCTCCCTCACTCTCTAGGACCCAGCTGAGGGGGCCAAAACTGTTGTGTTCTTCCCTAGCCCCAGGGGCGCCGCGTACTGTTGTCCAAGTTGAGAACTGTACAACTGGAGGGGGCACCATTCACCGTCCAACGCATGTGCCAGACCGCATGGCTGTACCTGATGGCCCCGCCCCTTCTCATTTCTAAATTACTTCTCACTCCCCTCCTCCGCCTAGAATGATCTATTTAGCTTGCCCTTGATAAGTTTGTCTTCACACCAAACTTTCCCCCATAAACATAAACTTCCTCCTCTACTGCCTGACTCCTTTTGTTCATTCGTTCATTCCACAAAAAATTGTTGAGTTTGTGCCAGGTACTGTTCTAGGCAAGTGAACCAGACAGACCCTCCCTGAGCTCATGGAGCTCACATCTAGGGGGTGCTGGGTTGGAGGGGTGGAATAAATAAATAATTTGTGACATAAAACTGCAAGTGACAGTAAGTGCAGTGAAGAAGAATGAAGCCAGGCCAGGAGGAGGAGGGTGACAGGGCCCTACTTCACCTAGGACTTTCCAGAAAGGCTTCTTTCCGAGGAGGTGGCCTGAGCGGAGGCCCGGAGGCAGTGAAGGAAGGAGCCTTCCTGGCAGAGCCCCTCCTGCCAGACATCCCACGCCAGGAGAAAGTTCTCTAATCCTGCCTGCTTCTGCCAGGAGCCTGTGGCATGGCCTGCGGCACTGGCTTCCCAGTGCTGGGTGTCCGTTTCCTCCTTGACAAATGAGAGGCCCAGTGGCACCAGCTGTCCGAGAGCTCCTCCAGCATGAATTCACTCACCTGTAGGCATGCGGAACTTCATGACTGGAGCCTGAGTCGGAAGGCCAGCTTGGCCACGTACAAGCTGTGTGATCTCAGGCAGGTTCCTTAACCTCTCTGAGCTGGTTTCCTTATTTATAAAATGCCTCCCTCAGGGTGTTGTGAAGGATTAAATGAGCTTGTGGATAGAAAACCACCTGGTGCATAGTAGGTGCTTAATAGCGATCTTCTAGGATCACACCTGGGAGAAGTGAGGCCACGGGGGTGGGGTGAAGAGGTGCTGTCGACCCGCTACCTTTCATCAAAAGGAGCCTAGAGAGGGCAATGCTGACCAAAAGACACGAAGCTCTGCTGGCCGCCCAGTTGTACAGAGCACAGCACGGGGAGCCTCCCAGCTGGGACCCCACCTCACAGACCCAAGCTTGGGGGAGGGGACGTGCCAGGGTCATGCCCTCCCTGCTGACGTCAGCAGGTGAGGGTGGGGTGGGGAGTTGCGGTGCAGCCCATGAACTGTCACACCACGGCCCAGCTTTCAACTTCCTCTGGGGCCCAGGGTGTGCTCAGCTCGTCCTCTCTTCCTTCCTCCTTCCTTCAGGCTGTTTGGGGGGAGCACCTCCACGTTCTAGCCCCAGTCACTGTGCCCCCTTCTCAGCTCCCAGAGCCCAAGGAGGGGAGGCGAAAGTTCCTTCCAGCCCACCCTGGTCAACAGGGCTTTCCCATGGCCTGCTGTGAGCCTGGGCTCCTAGAGCCTGCCCGGAGCCCCAGGACAGCGGGTGGCACCAATAGTCGGTCCTGGTGAGCTGCCAGGGCCGTGCACTGCTCTGGCACCGCCGACGTTAACTGGTGATGCTGGTTAAGCAGTGATGCAGGAGTTCGCATCCACTTCTTAGTTGAGAAAACCAAGGCTCCAGGCAGCGGGGGCATCGGCCCTCAGGCAGCAGGGCCAACGGGCATTCTTCCTGCAGGAGATGCTGAGAGGAACCTTGCAAGGCAGAGGGCACTGGAGAGGCAGAGAGAAGAGGAGGGGCTGGACCAGCCGAGGCTAGGATGTGGGACTCGGGGGCTTCCTGCCCCCCGGATGACGGCAGGCCAAGGTGTGAGCCCTGCTCCCCCAGCCACCCCCACCCCACCTGCTGCATTAGGATCCCCAGGGTGGCACTCTGAGTCTCCAGTGAGCCCCCAGGTGGCCTGGAAGCCCCCGGCTCAGTCTGGGAGGCCAGAGCTGGGCTGCCAGCCCTGACGAAGGCCATTTGTCAGGCCCCTCCTGGCTCTGGGGCAGGAAACAATAATAGTGACAGCTAACATTTATTGACAACTTTCCCACACAGCAGGTGCTCTGCTGCGCACTTTGCATATATGAACCTACTGAATTCTCAGGACAGCTCTGGGAAGGAGGAAATGGGCACAGAGAGGTTAAGTGACTTGCCTAAGGGCATACAGAGCCAACATTCAACCCAGGATGCCTGGTTCCCGAGGCCACCCTCACCTCCCCTCAAAGCCGAGTCTCTTGGAGCAGGGAAGGTGCCAGGCTAGGGGATTGGGCTGGACCTGGGAGGCGGGGGGAGCCAGTGTGTGCACGATGGATGGACCACAGCGGCAGAGGAGCTCTACCCTGCTGAGGGCTGAATGGGGGCCCCCTCGCATGGGGATGTGGTTTTGACAGAAGGCGAAAGAGGGCAGTACTCCCCGCAAAGAGAAGAACTGACAAACGAGGCATGGCCGTGCACCGGGCATGAAGCATGAACGGTGGACGCTCAGACACTGGGAAGGGAGCGTGTAGTGACTTCCTCTGCCACCTCTCCCTGCCCACAGCGGGCCTGGTACAGATGGGCGCACAGCCCCCATGCTGAGGTCTAAGAGCAGCCAGCCTCTGTGTGCACACGTGTGTGTGCATGCATAAGGAAGGAAGGAAAAGTAGCCTCTGCGTGTGCTCGTCTGCAGGGGAGGCTGTCCCCCACCCCCACCTGCCCCTGCTGCTGCAGCCGCAGAGAACAGGACACCCTGACTCTACTCTGCACCTCTGGGGCCTCAAAACCACAGCCACGTCAGTGGCGCGTGCACAGGGCTGGGTGGGAGGTGGGGCCATGGATGCAGGGTGCGCAGGTGCGCGCCAACATACGTGTGCAGGGCCAGCTTGAGGGGTGTTGTTCCTGCCTGCAGCCACCCACAGGGGAAGAGGGCAGAAGGAAGCTGGACATCTCCCGGGTGGCGGGGCATAGAGTCTAGCCCCTCTGACCGCAGCCCCAGAGTTCCAGCAACGCCCCTCCGTGGCCCCTCCAAGGAGCAGCCATTCCTCCCTCAGGTTCTCTCTTCTCTCAGCAACAGTCCCAACAACAACCCAGACAAATGTGTGCAGAGCACCCAAAGTGGCCCCACACGGTTCCAGGCCCTTGGGAAACATCAGTGAACAAAACGAAGATTCCTGCCCTCGTGAGGCCCACACTCCTGTTGGGGAGACACACAGACAGAGCACATACGCTCCGCAGCATGTAGGTGGGTGGTGGGTGCTCTGGGGAAAAACAGGAGCAAAGCAGGGCCGGGAGATGAAGAGTGCTGGTGGGCAAGAGGGTGCGAGGGCGTGTGCGTGGCACATACAGCTCACAGAATTAAACCGAGTGGTCCAGGCAGGCCCCGTTAAGAAGGTGACATTTCAACAAACGCTTGGAGAGGGAGAGGCCAAGCAGGGTCTGAGGAAGAACGTTCCAGACAGAGGAAACAGCTAGAACAGAGGCCCTGAGGCAGCGGGCCAGCCAGGACTGAGGGAAGTGCAGGCTGGCCTCAGGGAGGGACTGAAGCGGCTCCACACTTCCCAGCATCTGCTCACCTTGCTAAAAGCAAAGGCCTGATTTCCAGTGGGTTAAAGCAAAAGGACCTTCTGGCACCCATAGGAGAGGCAAGAGGGCGCTCGGAGGAACCAATGGCACAGCAAGAAGGGGAGAGAGAGGGAAAAGGGGTTTAGACAGAGAGAGCACATGACTGCTCTGGGGCCTGAGCTCAGGGAGGAGGCCCTAGGCCCAGGGCCTCTAAGGGGAGGGGGAGGGGAGGAAGCAAAGGACAAGACAAGTCTGTCCTGAGGCCCACCAGCCTCTCTAAGGGGGGCAGGTCTCTGGGGTCCCAAGGCTCCAACAAGCCAGTCCCTGGGAGCTCACTGAGAGGGTGAGTGTGGAGTTCCATCCTGCTGCCTGGAGGGCCAGCTGGCCACCCACAGGAAGGAAGGAAGCCTTGGGGTGCAACCACTTTCTGCCCCACCTGCCTCTGCCTGCTGCAGGCGGCCAGACCTGCCTGCCAGGCCCTTCTGAGGTGGGATGGGCGGCTGACCCCAGGAGATCTAGCTGATGGTTGACCAGGGGGCAGAGTGTGTGTGTGCAGACCCCCCTGCTCTGCTGTCTGTGGGAGCTGGCATTCTAGGAGATAAACTCCTCTAAACCAGCCAGACCCCTGCCAAGGGGCAGGGCTAGCCCAGAGTCAGGTTCCAACAGACAGGGCCGTGGGAAGTGAGGACCCAGAAAATGGAGGAGGCTTGACCTGGGCCCCTAGGACGGGAGCCAATCTGAATGGGTAGAGAGGAGAGAGGACACCTCCCTACACTCACACATTTGCACACACATGCACACGTCACACACTCAGTAACTGAAGCCCCCACACATGTAGGTTCTCACAGCCAGGGATATGCATGTATGCCTCACACACAGCCAAAGTAACACTCAGACACGCATGCACTAGAGACAGTCAGACTCGTGTAAGGCATGCCAACACGACCAGGGGCACACACGTACTTACACCCTCTCATAGACATAGATTGGTTCCCCTGGGCACCAGAAGCACATAGGCCCCTTGGAAATGGGCCTAGGAGAAGACGAGTGTGTCTGCAGAGCGTAAGGAGAACGGAGGATGGAAGGAGGTGAGGGGACAGATGGAGATGGGTGACAAATAAGACCCAGAGAAAGGCACGTCACAGACACACCTACATGCATACCACACACGCCCCGTTACTACTAAGCCTCTGACAGACCCCACAGGCTTCCTGCCTGCCAAGGGACACGACATAGCAACTACATGACGTGGCGCACGTCACTCAGTCTCTCCAAGGTTTGGTTTTCTCTCCTATAGAATGAGAATTTGATAACACCTGTTTTCCATGCCAAATTGATTTACTGTGAGTTGACAGGTAAATCCTCCAAAAAACGGTTCAGAATCCGGCCACTTCTCCCACCTCCACCACGACCATCCCAGCCAGGCCACCGTGCCACCCAGCTCCCTGCCCCCCTCCCACTCCCCACTGCAGTGGCAGGTCAGGTCCACACTGCAGCCACTGCCCTTCTCTTCCCAACCTCCAGGTACATTTCCATCTCATTCACAGTAGAAGGCAAAGTTCTTACAACAGGCCTGGGGGCTGCCCTCCCCGCTTCCTCCCTACCCGTCTTAACTCCAAAGGTACGAAAATATAAAGCTCTGCTTTCTTCCGTAGCCTCTCTCAAGCCATCATGGTGTTTTTTATTTGCTACTTAATGTTATTCTAACTACAGAAAAAATTAAAATTTTAAAATATTAGCATGAATTTTACTGCTCAACTTTATATTGTGCAATGCCAGCTTTAAATGCAAATATTAGAGCATTTAACTCGTGGAATCAAGACAGTTAGGCAATTCCTATTTCATAGCTCGTATCTGCACATGTATTTCATTCTCACCAGAACCATGGAAACACTGCACAAAATACCACATGAAACTCAATTTTTTATGTCTTTTTTTTCTTCTGCTTTTACTTTTATTTGCGTTTATTTTATGCTGAATTTATTCCTGGCCATAAGTCTGTGTTTCTTCTGGGATAACTTTTTCTTCTGTGCAGCCTCCTCTCTGGTCTAGGAACTATCTACTGCCCTTTAATGAGGAGCATCTCAGTGGCAGGCGTGCTTTTGCAGGGGTGAAGCCAGCCAGGACCTGTGTTAGGACAGGCGCACTCTTGCCTATATGTGCTCAATGACGAGAGAATCGACATCTGAACCGCTAAGTTCTGCTTTGCCCTCTTCGTTTTCAATCCCGTGCAGCAAACATTCAGCACTCCTTCGGGACCCTGACCCCATGTCCAGCCGCACAGTTTGCCCGGGGCAGCCCTACCAACTCTGCCGTTGTAGCAACGGGACAGCACATGCTGCCTCTGTAAAGTGACACCCTTCAGATACCCGGAGGCTTTCGGGTATGCATGTCCTTGGTGACCAGGGTCGTTTCACGGGTGTTCTTAAAGAGAACACGAAGATTTGGACCTCTTGATTTGAATGACTTTGTGGGGTCTTCTGGGTCAACTGAATAGGGAACCGTTTCTAGAAATCACCTCAGGCCACTTACTGGAAGAGCTTCTCTTTTTGATATGCATGGATTCTCCCAAAGTTTTCTACCTCGGGCTGGCTGATGGGTGAGGAAGGACCAAAAGAGAAAGGAACTCTATATAGGGACAGGGACGCAAGGAAGAGGGTGGGCATGCGTACTGTGCATATCTCCTCTGTGCCATTGTCCCATGGACTTCACTTAGAAAACACAACACCAGGCGGAGAATAAAGGAGCCATCCCATCAAGCCCTGCGCAAATTTTAGAAGCATAAGCAAATAAACAGTTGTTGTTTTAACTCGCTGAGTTTTGTGGTGGCTTGTTACACGGTAGCTGGTGACAGATACAATGGCTGAGATCGCACACAGCTAGTATGAGACCAGGCTGTGGTGGAATCCACGTGGGTCTGCTTCTCAAGTCCACACGCTTCTCTGCCCCACCAGGGCTTCCTTACAAATGCTTCGTAGAGTAACTCTTATTCTTCTCTTTGGAGAGTTGATGAGTTTAGGGTTGAACTGGGGGGCGAAGGTTACTTAACTGAAACAAATCAAAGTTGTTATTAGAGCTTGGAGGAATCCACATCTGGACTCGATGTCGGGGGATAGGGGGTTGGTGGGTGGGTCAGGGCTGAGAACAGGCCCAGCCTCTGTCCAGGGTGAGCCTGGGCCCAGTGGGGTGCTTGGACATCTGTTTTCCATCCTGATTCAGTAAATAAAACTGCTTTCCTCCACTGACCCTTCAGGAAATGGGAGTCAGAAGTTCACCCGGCCAGGAGTGGACCTCTCCTCTGACAGGAGCCCTCCCATATGCCTGGACAAGACGCAGAGGGCAGGGCCTCAGGCCACTGCTCTGGCTCCCCTCTGAACCAGCAGAGAAAGGAATTCTTAGGGCCTCCCTTTGTCAAGGAATCAGGTTTTTCTCATTTAACCAATGGCTGTTATCCCTGCTGTCAGCTGTTAGCATATAACATTAGTATGTTGGATGTTTATTTTTTTGATCCCACAGTTCACGCATCAGTAAAGATGTTTTCAGTGGCCAGAAACAGAACTTCTATTCAGTTGGCTTAGACAATAAAGAAAGTGTATTCTGTCACAGAACAAGAAGTCCAGGGGAAGACTAGCTTCAGCAGAGGTTAGTCCTGCCGCTCAACATCATCATCAAGGACCCAGGTTTATTCTCTGCTTGTGGCGTTGTCCTTGGCTAGCTTGCTTCATGGTCACAAGATGGCTGCTGCCACCCCAGACATCACATTGTCACAAAACAATGTCCATAGCAGCAAAACAAAAAACATACACAAAAAATACCCCAGGAAACATCTCATCCTTGTGTCCCATTTTAAGACCAAAGAAAGTTTTTCCCAGAAGTCCTCAGAAGACTGTCTCACACTGCTCATTGGCTAGAATTGAGCCACATCCCATGCCTGAATCTATCCCAAGCAAGGTGGATACTGCCACTATTACTGCCCTGAGCCCAGAAGGAGAAGGAAAAACACCTGGAACAAACCCAGTCTCAGCAGGTACTGAGGGGGAGGGTGGTGGGAGGGAGAAGGGTCCCTGGGTGGGCAATCAACGGTGTGCACTGCAGCTCATTCTTGCGAACCCGGTTTTTCTACAGCTCGGGGAAGAGGAGGGGAGGATTGGTATTGACAAAGTGACCCAGGCCCCAGATTCTATGACTCGACTAAATTGCCTCACAAAGTACTTACAGGGAGTATATTTTACTTGAAGTACTTACAGGAAGTAATAAAAACTCAGGGATGGAGGCAGGGACGTTGGTCTCTCATCTGAGCATCTGTCTGGGTTCTTAAGAGCATCAATGTCGGAGTTAGACCCAGGTGTGAGTTCTGTCCCTTTCTGCATTTCTGATCTTGTACAAGCTCTTTCATCTCTGTGTAACCCTTCCTTTATACGTAAAATGAGGATAACATGCCTACCCCCCAGACTGTTTCATTAACCAATACACTGCTTGGCATATAGAAAAGGGTCAAAAAATATTTTGGGCAGTTGGAACCGTGTGACCCAGCTTGGCTGTTTCCTCCTACAAAGCCACCCCCACTCCTTCCTTGAGCTCATCTCCTTCCTCCCAGCCCCATCCTCGGGCTCCACGCTCTCTCCTCTCGCATCCCTCTATCCCTCACACACAGCACTTCCTGTCGGGCTACCCTACCTAGCACCTAGACAGGGTGTCCCATCCACAAGCCAGATAAGGAAACTAGAGTCCTCTGTGGCCACCCACCTCACAGAATCACTGCTGCCAACTGCCTATGTATCCACGCTCCAGGTCCCAGCTCCTCTCTATCTCCATGATGCTGACTTGTCTCTGTTTATTGTCAGGGTTCTTCGTTGAAAGCAACAGAAAGCTCACGGACTCCTCGGGCTGGCTGGAGAGCTAAGCTCAGGAACCAGGGAGGACCGGACAGCAGCCAGAACCCCTGCCAAATCACACCTCAGGGCTAGAGCAGGGAGGACAACAGTGAAACTGGCCCTGAGGCTCCTCTGGCCCTGGAAACCTCCTGGGGCGGCTGCCGCCAATTCTGTCAGATACATCCCATCACCGTGTCTTTGTATCACCTGCTAAGATTCAGAGTTCCTGGGGGTGCATCTGATTGGCTGAGCCAGATCATATGCCTGCCCTACAGCTGCAAAGGAGGCTGGGAAAGTGAGGTCAGGTTTTCATGGTGGGAGAAGGGCTCTGCTTGCCCATGACTTGCAAGGTAGGGGATGCAGGAGAGCCACAGAAAGAGTAAAGGGGCACTCTGCTGGGTGAGAGGCCATGGGCTCCCCGAGAGGCAGGGCTGTGGCTGTTTATCCCACGCCCCACCCCCAGTGTTGGGAGCAGGTATGCTCTCAACAGGCTTCAGGAAAGTGTCCAGTGATCTGACTCACCTGGACTCGGAGAACCGTGGTGCCGGAGGGACCACCTTGGGATTCCTGCAAAAGAGGTTTGAGGACAAATGTAGAACTGCCGCTTTTTATTTTGCCAAGTAAGACTATCAAAAGCAAACAATAAATAAACCACTTTCTACCCTCACCATTTCATAAAAGAGGGGACATCTTAAACACCAATAAAACTAAAAGGACCAGGGAGAGCATGATTTTAGAATCGAGCACAATCCTTCAAGCTAAATACACGTTAGCTTTAAGAAAATCTCTCTGTCGTCCGGATGTTTCTACTTTCGCTGGAAACCTATGAAAAGGTCATGACACAACTGACTTTGAACATGGACTGTGGACTAGATAATGGTGTTGTATCAGTGGTGAGTTTCCTGATTTTGTTAACTGCAGGGGTTATGTAAGTCTTACGTTGTAAGAGAATGTCCTTGTTCTTAGGAAATTCACCCTGAAGCATTTGGAGGTAAAAGGGCACATGGCTGCAGCTTCCTCGCAAATAGCCTGGGAAGAGATCGTACACACAGTACACACACACACACACTCACACACTCAAACACATACATCTGTATACAGAGAGAAAAATAAACCAAAAGGGACAAAATGTCAATAATTGATAAATCTGCGTAAAAGGCATACCAGAGTCTGTGTACTATTCTTGTGACTTTTTTGTAAATTTGAAATTATATCAGAATTAAAAGTTACCCCCCACCTCAAAATTAGCAATGAGTGAGCAGCAATTCTTCATAAGGGTTGGGTTTCGCTTGGTACATACCTGTTTGGGGTAATGTTTGAATTTTCATGAACATATGTGATATTTTTAATCAGAAAGAATAAAACAAAAAACGTAGAAATTAAAGAGAAAAAGATAAGGCCATGATAGACTCAGTGTAGCATTTGACGCTCGCCGGTCTGTGCTAAGAGCCCTGTTCTACAGAGGAGGGAACTGAGGCGAGGGCAGGGCTGTGGCTTGCTCAGCAGCACATAGTGGGGATCATCAGAGTCAGGACTCGATCAGGGCTCCTGCTCCCTGCACAGGTTCCTTCCACTCCAGGAAGCTGCCCGCCTAAGCTGAGTTGAGGGCCCAAGGGCATGGATGGCCAGGCAGAAGTAGGGGGAACACAGGGATTTGTCCCCTCTGAGAATGCTGCATTCTGCAAGGATGCATTCCTTCCAACTTTTATCCCCATATGATCCCTGCAAGCCAAGGAGGATTATCAAGAATTGCTCCCTACACATTTACTCATTTCCGTTTTTTTTTTTTTTGAGGATGATCAGCCCTGAGCTAACATCTGCTGCCAATCCTCGTCTTTTTGCTGAGGAAGACTGGCCCTGACCTCACATCCATGCCCATCTTCCTCTACTTTATACGTGGGACGCCTACCACAGCATGGCTTGATGAGTGGTGCCATGTCCGCAGCCGGGATCTGAACCGGCAAACCCTGGGCCGCCGAAGCGGAACGTGCGCACTTAAACACTGTGCCACCGGGCCGGCCCCTACTCATCTCTTAGGTGGGGAAACTGAGAGGTTCTGGGACTTGCCCAAGATCATACTGCAAGTTCCAGACTCTGTAGTGGGGGACAGAGTAATTGGTCAGATTTGGCTAAGTCATCTCAAGTCCAAGTTAGGAACATAGGAAGGGAGGGGCCTTGGGAATTAGAGGGGAAAAGGGAAGGGAAGCCTGCAGTGTTCAGATTGGGAAATTCCCCTTCCCTTCCCCTTCTCACTCTCAATGTAGCTTCTGTTCCCCTGAGCTTGAAAGAAGAAACAGTGTTTTGCAGGTGCACCATGTTCTACAACTTAATGAGGCATCGCTCACATGCCAGTCTATGAAAATGGCACCTCTTGGAGTTGTGCAGTGGACAGCCTGCACAGCTATACATGGCAACCCTGAGAGAGTCATTCATTATTGTTGTTGTTGGGTAGCGGGGAGGTGTCTGGGGAAGGGACAGGAGTGACTAACACTGTGGCCTAGATTAACCAGTGACTGATTCCATCCATTTAGTCAACCACTATTTATTGCCACAGATTATATGCCAGGCATCATGCTGGGACTGGGACTTTCCGGGCTTGAAATAGATGTCACTCTAAGGAGGAGCTGGGAGTGGGGACAGAGGTGGAAAGGCAGCCTTCCCGAGACAGAAACCCACAAACCTTCCCCCACCACTCCTTCCCCTCTGCCCAGCCTTCTCATGGTTTAGGCCCTCCTGGAGCAAGTTTCCAGGATCCTCCCCTCCCCTCCTCCCACAGTCAGTGGGCTGTCAGCCTTTCTGCCTTTCCTGTGGGTCTCATTCATCAGCTGGTGGGAGCCCCTTGGGCTCCAGGCTGCAGTGCAACTCCTTCCTCCACGTGGTACCTGGAATTCACTCATCCATCCATTTATTCACTCATTCATTTGTTTGTTCATTCGTTTTACTTTTATTCCACAGGCATTTGTCTGTTTGTTAACTATTTTTTTTTTAATGAAAAAAGAGGTATGTACCCATGGTTAAAAAAAAATTTAAATACATGGGGCTGGCCCCGTGGCCAAGTGGTTAAGTTCGCGCGCTCCGCTGCAGGCGGCCCAGTGTTTCGTTGGTTCGAATCCTGGGCGCGGACATGGCACTGCTCATCAGACCACGCTGAGGCAGCGTCCCACATGCCACAACTAGAAGGACCCACAACGAAGAATATATAACTATGGACTAGGGGGCTTTGGGGAGAAAAAGGGAAAAAATAAAATTAAAAAAAAATCTTAAAAAAATAAATTTAAATATAGCAAAAGCAAAAAGTAATTCTCCCTCCAGCTTCCCAGTTTCCCTCTCGGAGACAAACATTCTCCCCAGTCTCTAAGTCTCCTTCCAATTCTTTCTAGGGGTTTCCCAAGGTATGAATATAAATATGTGTATGTGAATGAATATAAATATGTGTAAGTGAATGTATATTGTGTTGCTTTTTTTCACAGAAGAAAGAATGTGTTACACACTGTTCTGCACCTTGATTTTTTTTTTTCATTTAGCACTGTATTGAGATACTTGTTCCATATCCACTCCTTCCACAGCTATGTACCATTCCAGCGTGGGATGTCCTGCCATCTATGTCACTGCCCTACTGGTCAATGTCTGGTCCATTCCCAGTTTTTATTTATTTAATCATTTTTTGGCAAGGAAGTTTGACCCTGAGCTAACATCTGTTGTCAATCTTCCTCTTTATTTTTCTTCTCCCCAAAGCCCCAGTGTGTAGTTGTACATCCTAGCTATACATCCTTCTAGCTCTTCCATGTTGGATGCCACCTCAGCATGGCCCAGTGAGCAGTGTGTATGTCCTCGTCCGGGATCCAAACCGGCAAACCCCTGGCTGCCTAAACTCTTTTTTTTTTTTGCTTGAGAAAGATTAGCCCTGAGCTAAAATCTGTGCCAATCTTCCACTGTTTTGTATGTGAGTCGCTGCTACAACATGGCTTGACCAGTAGTGTACTGACCCGGGATCCAAACCTGCAAACCTGGGCCACCAAAGTGGAGCGCACTGGATTTAACCACTGTGCCACAGGGCTGGCCCCCCCTCTTTCCAGCTTTGCTTGGCCCTGAAAGTGTTTCTCCATACATCTTTTTTTTATTTTTTTGCACAGAAAGATCACCCTGACCTAACATCTGTTGCCAATTTTCCTCTCTCTCTTTTTTTTTTCTCCCCAAAGACTCAGTACATAGTTGCATATCCCAGTTGAAAGTCCTTCTAGTTCTTCCATGTGAGCCACCACCACAGCGTGGCTACTGACAGACAGGTGCTGTGGTTCCATGACTGGGAAGCGAACCTGGGTCACCAAAGTGGTGAGAGCACCAAATTTCAACGACTAGGCCATCAGGGCCGGCTCTCTGCACACATCTTTGTACAGTTGTAGGAGCCTAGATTCCTTGAAGTGCAAATCTGGTTCAAAGGGAAAGTGCACTTTGCATTTTGATAGATATCGTCCAACAGTCCTCAAAAAATTACACCAAATTGTACCAAAAACCCCTTTTTGGTCTTTGCCAATCTGGAGGATGAAAATGATATGTCATTTTAATTTGCATTCTTTATTATGAGGGATGGTAGCTTTTTTTCCCTATTTTCCAATCATTGTATTTTGCTTTCTCTTCCCTCTCTTCAACAGTATTGAAGGAGCTGCTATATACCAGGCTGTTCATTCTTTCAGTCACATAGGCAAAGTGTCTGGGACCTATGACATTTTCAAGGTCCTGTGAAAGATATTGGCTTCAAAATATTTTTAAAAGACTAGAAAATTGAAACTGAAATGATGTAATTTACTGTCAAACAAACATAATTTTACAGCAAGTTCATTGACTGGAAAACCTAGAACTCATGAACATTTCATTATATTTGAAAGCGATTTGTTGGTTTAGATGTTCTCATTTCAAAGAATTCTGAAGTATGCATAATACTTTTCAAGAAATTAGAGTCAGTTTTTTTTTAAGATTTTATTTTTTTCCTTTTTCTCCCCAAAGCCCCCTGGTATATAGTTGTATATTCTTAGTTGTGGGTCCTTCTAGTTGTGGCATGTGGGACGCTGCCTCAGTGTGGCTTGAAGAGCAGTGCCATGTCCACGCCCGGGATTTGAACCAACGAAACACTGGGCCGCCTGCAGCGGAGCACGAGAACTTAACCACTTGGCCACGGGGCCGGCCCCTGGAGTCAATTTTAAATTAAATATATTAACTGTAAGTTGGATAATTTCACAATGATAATTATTTGAACACCCTTTTAAAAAATTTGCCATAAAGTGACATTCAATGTGGAATGAGAGTGCATTTTAATATGTTTCCTGGGATTGGGGTGGGGCTTCCAAAAGTAAGTGTGTCAAGGGCCAAAGGTGGTTTTATTTAAAAAGCCCATAAACGTCTGAACCAGATGGACAAGGTCTCAGCCCTCATGGAACTTCTAGTCCAAGAGCAAGCTGACCTTCTCAACAAAAGCAGGAGACGGTGAAGGGGATGGGACGGAGTCTTGGGCTAGCCAAGGACCCCTGGCTTCTCACGCAACCCCCTGACTGTCACAGAGATGAAACCATCTGCTGTGTCTACCCCACACCCAGCCTAATGGCTCAGCGCTGGACACCAGGATTTTGGGAAGCCCATGTGGGAAAAAATAGGGTGGAGGTGATGTAATCTGTGGTCTCAGGACCAGCCTGGAGCGGGGGTGGGAAAGCGGAGTCGGGGAACAGAGATAGGGAGGAAAGGGAACAAATTGTCCCTAAATGACATCTCGAGACATCAGAACAAAATGTGTTTTTCTCTTTCCTATTCTCGCCCTTTTTTAAAGGGAAATAGAGGTCATTCATTGAAAGGGACCATCTGGGGTCTAAGTCACAAGTGTGAAGGTTTTAAGACTGGGAAGTGAGCAATTCAGCACCTCCCCCTCCTCCGTCTGCCTTCCCTCCCCAGCTGAAACCGACCGGGGAAGGCAAAGAGGACCTAGGGGAAGTGGTGTGCGAATGCAGTGCATGAGTGTGTGTGTGCAAATGCACGTGTGGGAGAGCCCACACCCTCCCCTAATACTGTTTCTCTCCCCAGTAGCTGGCATAGGATGGCACTGTCACACCCGGTAAAGATCTATTCAGTCCAATTGAACTGAATGGCACAGTGGAGCCAGATAAATGGCTTTGAATCCCACTTGTGCTCTTCACCAGCTGTGTGGTCTTGAGCAAATTCACGTCCTTCTCTGAGCTCAGTTCCCTTATTTGTACAAAGAGCACAAGAAAACCCAGTTTGCAGGGACATTATGCAGGTGAAATGAAGGGAAGTTGGTGAGTAGCTCCGAGCAGGGTCTTTTTTATTCTTACCCTTTAGCTGTCCTGGAAGGGAAGCAGCCTGCGCAGAGGCCTGTGGTAGAGCAGGAGCAAATGCACTTGATTGAGAGGGTGTTGTTGGGGAGGAGGAGATGGTGGTGGTGCAGGAAAGGCTACGCGCCAGCCTTGAGAGGACTTCCAGCCTCCCTGGTTCGTGCCTGTAGGGAGCCACAGAAAGCTCTGCCTCAGGGGAGGGGCTGGAGCACGAGAGGCAGCTGGGATCCCTGTGCACCATCTTCCATGGCCACTACCTGGGTTCCAAATATGTGTCATTCTCTCCTCCTTCTGCACATCCCCTCCCACAGCCCAGGGAGGGGCTCCTGGGCCACAGCTCAGCTCCCACCAAGACCACATCTGGGAGGAGAACAGCAGAGAGTGAGCCCAGAGACAGAGTGTAACTAAGGATGCATCCGAGCCTGGGCTTGAACCGACTCTGCGCCCTCCTCGCTGGGTCCTGGATCCCTTGGAGCCTCAGCTTTCTTCCTGTCAAGTGGGATGACAGCAGTGACCTCACCTGGTCGTTGTGATGGTTAAATGAGGTCATACCTGTAAAACGCTTAGCACCATGCCTACCATATAGTTGGAGCTCAGTGCACATTGTTATAAACTCTTAGATGATGAGGGAGAGAGAAGACGAGACCTAAGGAAGACAAAGGGGAGAGAATAAGGAGGGCTCAGAGGCAGGGGAGAGTGACATACAGGCAGTCCAGCCTCTTCTGCCTCTCTGGACGGTCCACCTGCAGCCAGGAAAGAAGCCCCTTGGAAGGAGGGAGTGACGGAGGGGCCCAGCCATTTGGTAAGAGAGGAAGTCATCTGTGACCCATGTCCCTCCTCTCCTTCCACCTCCCACCCTCCTGGCCCACCTCTCAGGGTGACAGGGCTGTCCACGGTGGCCCAGCGGCATCCTGGAGGGTTCCAGAGCTGCACCTCCTACAAAGTGGGGGTAGGGGTGGGACGTTCCTGGGAGGTAGGGGTGCAGGGGTGGGGCCTGGGATTCCCCATGGATCTTGGGGCCCCAGGCACAACCCCCCCCCCCCCCCCCCCCCCCCCCCCCCCCCCGCTTAGCTAGAGGTCAGAGGCTGCTCCATTTGAAGTGTGGTCCTGCGTGGCAGAGAGCCAGTGGCACTGGCTGAGATAGGTTCCCTGCCCCCGCAGGCCAGCTGGTCCTCCCCAGAGGCTGGGCACCTGAGCAGGTCTGCGTGGGGATCTACAGGCTGTCACTTCTAAAAATAAGAGTGCAGCAGCCTGGGAGTCAGCCAGGTGTGGCTGCCACCTAGCATCCCAAACTGGCTGATATGCATGTGCACGCCAGTTTGGGGCCTGCACAGACACTCACCAACTGCCTAGCACAGACCCAGGGGACCCACGGCCAGCCCTCCAGAGACACACACTCAAGTTGACATGCACACGGCCTTGCTTAGGCCTGACCCTGTTCACGGATAGGCCCCTTATCCACACACAGCCTCTCACCCTACTCCCACTTCCCAGCACACACTGGCACAGACCCAGCAGCGCCTGGCTCCAGAACATCAGCCTCCTGAGGACAGTGCCACTGTGGGTTTTGTCCACTTCTGTTTCTTCAATGCCTGTAACAGTGCCTGGCACATCCCATGTGCTCACGAAATGTTTGCTCTATAAATGAAGATGCACACACACACACAAACACGCGCGCACAAACGTTTGTTCTATACTTAATTACCCCCACCCTTGCCCCATATCCCCCCAGTTCTACTGGGCCCCAGAGAGGGCAACGCCAGGAGGTCTGTCCTTCTCTGGCCTGGCCAATCCCCCACACCCAGAGTCCAAGCCAGGGTAAGGACTTTGGGGGGGTCCCAGGGAAGCAGCAGCTTCGAGCATCTGTTTGGGAGAATGTGGGAATCCCCATTTTCTACAGAAAAACCCTCCCTGGGGGAGCCACAGCACTGTGCTGGAGTTCTGGGTGGGGGAAGATCTGTCTGGGCCACATCCCAGGAAATCCCCCCACAGGGGTGCGGGGCGTGGGGACAGCATGTGACCTGCCCCATGGCTGTCCCTGGCCCCCTGCTCTGAGGGAGCTCCCTGTTTTAGGTGCCCCCTCCCCATCTAGGAGTGCTTGGCTCTATTCCCACTGGGCCTGGGCCAGGCTTCCCATGGCCTGCACATGGCTGCAGCAGAGTGAGGCCTGAGGACGCAGGATCAGAGCGGGGTGGTCAGAGAGGACTCCCTGGAGGAGAGGAGCCTTGTACGGCAAGACATTCTGGGAAGAAGGCTGGAAGGGTCATCTGAGCACCTTTGATTCCAGGACTAGCAAGGGAGTGCCCTGTCTGTGCCAGGAGCTCATGACACCCACGGGGTGAAGTGGAGGCCGACTGGGCGGGCTGAGCACCAGGGATGAGGAGGGTGTGCTGTGACCCCGAGAGACATCAAGGGTCATGGCGAGGCGTCTGATCACAGCCTGCATCAGAGGACTTGAGAATGAGGTACCCGAAGGGGCAGGCTGTTGGAGGGGAGGACCAGGGATGGACAAATGGATAGACTAGCAGATGGACTGAAAGACACTGGAGGATGGATGGACAAATGGGAAGACAGAAATGAGTGGATGGCCCCTGGACATCTCCCTCTCAGTCCCCACAAGGGCCTGAAGACCTAGCTACTCCCAACCCAGACCCTGCCCCTTCACTGCCCGATTCCCGTCTCCTTCCCAGGCCAGGCTCCCAGGGAAGCCAACACCTGCTTGGCCTGGTGCCCAGAGATGCACCTTCCAGCCAGGTACAACCCCAGATGGGGAATCACCTTCAGGTGTTCACAGCTGAGCAGGTGTGCATAGGATGGGGTGCGGGGTATGGCCATATCTATGGGCTGACACCTCTAAAAATAGCCCCCCAGGAGCTAGGGAGTGGCCCAATCATGGCAGACACGCATACAGACACACATACAGACACACATACCCCCCCATAGCTATTGGTTGAATCACAAGCCCATAGACACTGGCTGTCACGCACAGTTGGGCACCCATTCACTGACATCCAAACACCGGGTCCCCAAATGCCACAGGGACACTGCCATTGCATAACTCCAGAATGAGCCAGTCATGTGGTCTACAATATAGGGGCAACCTGGACCCTCAGATACACCCCAACGATACACTGACCTGCAAAGATTCACTGCATAGCTCCTGGCCCCAACCTTGTGGGATATTAGAACACCTCTCACTCTCTAGACACTTGAAATCTCACCTTCAACAGCTCCTTGCAGATAAAGCCAGACCCATGGGCCCCTTCCTGATCTGCCCCTCGAACCCTGCCTCCTGCCCCACCTCCTCACATTTGCCCTCCCTCCAGTCACATCTCACATCGTGGGTGGGCTCCACATTATTCCTCCAACTGGGAACCCCTTTCCCACCTCAATCTGGGACCCCACATTCTGGTCCTATCATTCAAGACAGATCTCTGTATGCCTAAAGTTTAATAGTGTGACACACAATGGGGCATCAATAAGTGTTTGTTGACTGACGAGCTGGATGAAATCATTAGAAATCTAAGTCAGCTAAGAATTAATGCCAGAAGGCTGATGTGGACTAGCTGCTGTGAAATTCTAGGCAGAGTAGGGGAGCACCCATGAGCTGGAGGACTTTGAGCCCCCACAAGCACACATTCATTACTACAGCCCCATGGAATGAGTCCTGCACCCTCGTACCTTCCACTCTCCGTAGAAAAGCACCAGTGACTGGTCAGCCAGGCCCAGCCCTATAGCGAAGGCAGGGGAGACCAGTAGGCCATGGAAGGAGCCTGCAGCCAAGGCCGGGGTCTCCCACTTCCATTTCCTCCACCCACTAACACCTAGAAAGGCCAGGCACTTTTCCAGGCCTTTCTTCAGGGCTGGGGAGTGCCAGGGCAGGCCCTCTGTCAACTCATCAGGTCCAGGGACTTTGGATGTGCTGACGCTGGTGGTCCTGCCACGCCCCACATGGGCCCAGTTGGCCAGAGCTCAACACTGACCTGGGCCTGGGCCTGGCATTGACTGATTGATTGATATGGAATTTCATTCCCGCAGTAAGGACCAACCACACCTGTGCAGTGTTCACTCTGTGTAAGGTCCACTTCCAAGCACTTCATTCACAGTTGCTCATTTAATCCTTGCAATGACCTTATGAGGTAGATACTATACTGATGCCCATTTTACAGTTGTGAAAACTGAGACAGAGAGACGGATGAACCAACTGACCTGAGGTCACAGCAGCTTGGAGCAGGTAGAGCAGTCCGGATTCAAACCCAGCCTGTCTGGCTCCAGAGCCCGCACTTTAACCACTACACTATGCTTGGTCTCTTTTTAAACTTATTTTTATAAAAGAAAAAGTGAGATTACTTGGTCCATGCTGCCTTTGGCATTAGTGGCATGGACATGTGACATTCCCGGTCATACACACACACACACACACACACACACACACACACACAGAGCTTGCCTCGTTCTGGTGCTGCCAGGCACATCCCTGTGACCTCCTGGTTCTTCCACGGCTAGGCATCAGGCCCGTGGGAACACTGTGCTTGTGGCTTTGGGTCCAAGTCTATTCTGGAACATACCACCCCCGTGCCCCTCCCCTCCCCTGCCACCCTCATTCCGCCCCAGGCCAGCATTCCTGGAAAGCTCAAAGGCGGCTTCTTTCAGGGGAGATTTTTCCACAGGGCTTCTGCGGCCGGAATTGGGATAAGCTGAGAAGGGTCCCACCCACAGTCCCACAGAAAGGTTGGAGTGGGCGTCAGGACTGTTCCTCTTCTCCAGGCAGGGCCCTGGCAGGCGTGAGACCCACAAAGTGCGCTTCCCCATCCTGCTGTGTCTCCTGAGGCTGCTTCTGGACTCTCAGAGGAGTTCAGGCCTCTAGCACTTTTTTCACTGGCTTTACTCAGTCCCACCCCGCTACCAGAGAGTGTGTTACTGGGCGCCCAGCTCTGTGCTGGCTGCTTTGGAGCCTGCCACTGACAGCTCACCATGCCCGATGAACGGTGCAACCTCCCCACGAGCTGTCAGTGACACTGGGCTGCAGCAAATCCCCAAAGAGCTTCCTGGGCCTATGCTCAGCCATCAGCCTTGGACTCACCTCCAGGACGTCCACCTGCTGCTCAGGGGCCCCGAGAGTGTGTCCTATCCTGAGTCCTGACCCCTGGCCCTAGCCCTGGCTGTTGTTTCGGTGGCAGGAAAGCCCCAGCCATACTGCCCCTGCCCGGGGCTAAGTGTGGGACCTGCCACTCAGCAGATGACTAACCAGGCCCCTCCTTGGCCCAGGCACTTCCAGCCCCTCCTCCTTGCCCAGCCTGAGTCAGAGACCTGTCAGCTCCCACTGCCCCCAAGGCCCAGTGGATTTGGGTAGGAGGAGCTGTCGGGGTGCCAGGACATGAGGAGATGGGCCAGGCCCTCACTCCTTGATGACCTGACCTCTAGCAGGACCTTGTGAGCATTCTTTGATCTAGAAATGTCACGTGTACACACACATACACACACACACATACACACATGCTCCCATCCACACCCAGCCACGCTCTGACCAGAGATGAAACAGTCCAGGTGTGGTGCTGAGGCAGGCCAGCGAGGAGCTGGGCTGAGCTGGAGCAGCTGTGTGGGTGCGGCCTCCTGGCCCCTCCTGCAGAGGTCCCAGCACCTCCTGGTACTGGAGAGCTTCTTGTTCCCTCCCCAGAATGGGCACAAATTCTAGCTGCCCAGGGGAGTCTGCTCCTTTCATATGCCCCCAACCCTACAGTTTTCTCTCTCTCTCTCTCTCTCTCTCTCTCTCTCACACGCACCTCTAAACTCTTCCTCTGCAACCCCATAAGGTCTCTCCTTTCTCACACTAGCCTCACAGAAAGAGTACCCAAGCCCCATAAAGCCTTGAGCCCCTGACTCAACCCCTGGAAGTTGAGATCGGGCCCTGGCGGTCCAGTCTCAGGGGATTTTTCCCTCCCCAGGGCCACCTCATGGGACCCCACTCTTCCCTGGCTGAACTAGTGATTGCTGCCAGGGCCAGCCCCACTCCTCCACATGCCGGCTCCTGCCTAGCACACAGAGGCACACGCTGTGACTCCACACTACTCCCCGGGACCCGCCAGACTGCGTAGGGCTGTTTCCGCCCCCATGTACATGCAGTTGGCTCTGCCCAAAATGCTCTCCCTCCTATTTCTGCTGAAATACCTTCCTGACCATAGCGTCAGCAGCCAGCACTTGAGCGCTTACCGTTAGCCAGGCCCTGCGCTAAGAGCTCTCCATAGATGCGTTCATTTGGTCCTCACAAGAAGCCTGGGAAGAAAGTACCATGAATTACACCCAATGTTCCGAAGAGGCGCCTGAAGCCGAGAGAGGTTGAGGAATGACGCATGTCTACCCATCCTTCAAGATTCACTTGGGAACCACCTTCCTGAGACTCTCCCTTCTCCTCCTCCCGCACCCCTGCCCACTGTCCCAGGCAGGAGAAAGTGCCCCCAGCATAGAGCCACTGCCCCTTGTAGTGACTTCTGTTGAGGCTGTTACTTCAGCCCCCAGGCACTCATGTTTGTCCTTCTCCTCTGTCACGGGCCCTGTGAGAGCTGGTGGGTGGGCCTGGGTCTGAGTCACCGCGCTGCCTCGCTGCCCAGCACTGAGTCTGGCAAGCTGGTAGTGGAGGTGACTCTTTGCTGCCTGGAGAAGCGGCCAGAGGAAGGAAGGTCAGGGCCCTCCTCCCTTCTCATCTCCCTCCAACTCACACATTTCCCGGCCGCTTTCCTCCCCGTCTCCTCACCCCTGCATCTCTCCCCACCCAACCCTGTCCACACCTTTCCTATGTTCCTGAGAAGAGCAGTGGGCCCCTGCTCTGCTCTCAGGTTGAGCCTTGCTGGTGGGCAGCAGAATCTGTACTGGGCTGAACCTGGGAGAGGGGTGGGCCTGTTCCCCTCAGGAACCACCCAGCTCCAGGGGGCCCAGCCTGGACCTGAACGCTGGGAGCCCTGGCTCAGCACCCTGGGTCACCTCTGGGCGGCCCCTTCAGTGTCTATGTGTGTACACTGGTGGGGGGTGCAGGGGAGGGAGGAAAATGAACCATTGGGCCCAACGCCAAATTTATTTAAGGGGCACCAAGTTAAAAATAGACCCCCAGTGCCCAGAGAGCGGGCAACAGGCATGCTGACCTCTGGCTCAGATAGGAGAGGGATTCCAGAAGCCCTGAGAACTGTCCGCGCCTGGGAGCCCTCTGCACGGCTCCCTCTCCCACAGACGGATTTGTGATTCTGTCAAGTGTCACACACACCCCAGCCCTGCTGGGTGGGACCAGCGACATGCTTTGTGCGCTTCGCCAATTGCAGTGTTTTGTAGCGGAAGAGCATGAACTTTAGACCTCGACGGGACCCCAACGGGCGATTACTGTATAACTGCCCCATTTCCAGCCCCCGTTTTGCAGAGGGGGAACTAAAGTTCCCAGAGAAAGGACTGGCTCAAGGTTATGCAGAGCAAGGCTGGGATCAGCTCTCTTGACTCCCGATTCAGGGCTCTTCCCACTGTTACATCACGCTAATCATGTCGTATTGCACAGTGTTCAACCCTATTTTGTTCTTTCGTCTTATGTAATGTCTTGTAAGTAGGGGTAGGGGTTGTGGTGGGACTGAGGAAGTCACTGGAAGGAGGAGGTGACAAAAAGGCGATAAGGCCGAGGTACAGGCCCCTCCTGGTCCTCCCCCGCCCAGATCAAGGCCCGGCTCTCCGACCCGAGATTTCTCCCCATGTCAGGTGTAGCGGGTGTGGTTCAGCACCCAGAGCCCTAATTAGCGCCTGTTGACAGTTTCTGGTTTGTGTGTTATCACCTTGGGTCCACTTATCTTTATCAGAGCCAAAGGTTGATTGGAGCATTCTGGCTAGGGCTCAAAGCAGCTCCGCTCTGATTCCACCAAGCATTTATGACCACTGTGAATAACAGCTCTCTGCCCTCCAGATAGCAGCCCTGCTTGTCCCAGAGCTGCCCTATGGAGTCTTCAGTTTGATCTCCACCATGCCCGCCAAGAAGATAGGGCAGAGTTCCCCTTCAGCATGGGGAGGAAAGTGATGCCCGGCGAGGTGGGCTGGGCTGGGCTGGACCCAAGCCTCCTGATCTCCAGCCTCAGGCTCCCAGCAATGATGCTCCAGACACCCAACCTGCCAAAACCCCCTCCCAGGGGCTGCAGTTCCTGCTCCTCCAGCCTCTCTTGCTGGGACAAAGGTTCCTGGGCCTTATCAGCCCGAGAGGTAGAATATTAATCTGGCCATGTATGTCCCAGCCCTGCCCCCTCACAGCCGGCCGCCCCACTCCAGGTGGGTGGGGGGCGTACCCATCAGGACAGGGTGAGACGGCTGTGGGAGGAGCCTGTGTGAGCACAGCAGGCCCTGCATGCAGCCTCTGTGGCCAGCTGAAGGGCTCATCCTCGGTCTCTTCCCAACATTAGCCTCAGGGCCAGGCCCTCAGGTCCTTCCCAGCTCCCCTCTGAGCTTCAAGGGAGACAACTTCTCTGAGAAGTGACTCAAACCTTTCTGGAACCTGAGGTTCCCACCTGGACCCCTCAGACCAGTGATGCCAGAGAGGACCCAGGTCCTACTCTCAGCTCAACCACTGTCTCCTTCTTCGGGACCCTGGGCAAGTCACTGTGCACCCAGAGCTCGCCTGGATCACCTGTAAACTGAGAATGGACTTTGAACTGTTCTAAAATACCCTCCTTCCCACTGAGACTTGGTGACCGAGTCTGGGTGACCACGCCTCCCCCTCTGCACAGACCCACCTGGAACAGGATCCAGGACCCTCGATGTAGCTCTTTTGGGTCTCAAACCACACTGGGTCCCACTTACTGCCACTCAACCCCCTTAGCTCCTGGGCCAAGTCTCCAGGGACTGACCAGGGGAGATGGAGATGCCCTGTGAGGATGTCCTGATGCCACGCAGGTGTACGTGTGTGTATGTGTGTGTGTGTGTGTGTGTGTCCACCCACCCTCCTGGGGATTGTCTGGAGGGGGCATTGTCCGGAGGGCTGGGCGGTTGCCTTTATGGCCTGGCATAAAAGGTAATCATTGACCACATCAATGTGGCCCTGCGCGTCAATGCCGCCCAGGCTCGGCCCTGTCAGGCCCTGGATTACTTTACAGTCACATAAAAGGAGCCTCCAGACTGGCCCCTGGGGACTTTGGCCCTCAAGGGGGGAGCGGGAGTGAGCTGTTCCCTGGAGACGGCCTTTTCTTATAGTATTTACTTGACCAAAGAAAAGCTCCCGCCTTTTATCAAACCCACTGGGATTGTCTCAGCCCAGCCTGCCTAAGCCACAGAGTCCCCATCGACAGGGGCCGACCCGCTTCCCCTCCCTCCTCCGCCTCTCCCATCAGGACCTACCAGCAGCCTGGATGCACCCAGCAAGGCCCCTCCCCAGGCTGGGACTCAGGACACATCTAGGAGGCCTTGTTTCCTTTACAAGTTTTATTTCATCAAGCCCTCACAAGCACCATGGGATAGAAACCGAGGCAATTCCCATTTTTCAGAGCAAAAAACGTGGGCTCAGAGAGGCCAAGTAACTTTCCTAAGTCACACAGCCAGTAAATGGCAAATTTCAACAGTTCTCACAGCCTATAGGCAGCAGTCACCAGACTTGTTTGATAGTGTACTGCTATCAGTAAAAAAACAACTCTTAGCATACACCTTTGATATATTTATACATACCCATAAACATATACATGGACTACTGAAAATCTGTATATTAAATATTAGCAAATATCTGTACCCCAATGGAACAACCGTTTCTCATCCTATCATTAAAACAAGATCAAATCAACTCCACAAACACTCCCCAAGGCTCGATTCCAGCAAGGACTGGGGCAGAGAGAGAGGATGGGAACTGGACTGAACCTTGAGGAAAGACAGGCCGCAGGCAGGTGAATATGCTTGGAAAGGGCATCCCAAACAAAGGCTCGAGCAAAACCCAAGAGGCAGGAAACGGCAGGAAATGTTCAGGCACAGACAAGAACCCTGGGGACATGAATGGGTAGAGCCAGAGACAGTGCTGGAAAGTCGAGAGGGGCCCAAAGCGACTGGCCCGACTGCCAGACCTTTTCTAGAATGCAATGGGGAGCCACAGCGGGTTCAGCAGCAGCAGTGTGACTTTACCAGAGCTGTGTTTTGGAAACGTCTCCCAGGCCACAGAGAAGAATACAAATTACATTCTTAGATCACTGTCCCCGGAGTTGTGTAACTTGGCCCTGTGGGAGGCGCTAGACTGAAGGCCAGTTAGGAGTTGCCACACCTCTGTATGTTTGCTGACACTCTGCCGTTTACCAGCTGCCCCACCCTGGGCGAGTTCAGCAACCTCACTGGCCTCGGTTTTCTCATCTATAAAATGGAGATAACAGTAGTACACACGTCATGGATATTGTCGCTCTGACAGTGGGGGAGAACTGGCTGAGGTCCCTGATTCAGGGTCTGGCACATAGATGCCCAACGACTGGCAGCTGCTCTCACTGTTAGAACACACTGTTCCCTTTGATCTGCCTGAAGAAATCAAGCAACCCCTCGATAATCTAGTTCGGACTTCACGTTTGAGGGACCCAATAGACTGACTCATTTCTCCCTCCCCTGAGCTCACCTAGCTCTGGACTCATCCAGTAAGGTAGCATTAGCCCATCATGTGACAGTTATTTGCATATGTAACTGTCACCCTCACCATCTCTGTGCTCCTGTACCAGACACTTAGTTGGCCCTGCGTAAACTTGGATCAAAGTTGCGTAAAAAGTGAAATAACATCAGAAGAGGAGGAGGAGATGGAGAAGACGAAGAGGCCTATTTAGGGGCACTTTGCTAAGCTCTTCATGTGCAGTATTTTATGAATCCTCTCATCTACCTTATAAGCTAAGTGTATCAGGCGAGATAGGCTAGTTGATGCTGCAGTAACAAACATCCCAACACTTCAGTCGTTTAAAATAGTAAAGATTTATTTCTCTCTCATGCCAAATGAGCAGTGCAGGTCACCTGGAGGCTTCTGAGTTATGTTGTCCTCCCTCAGGGACCCAGGCTGAAGGAAGCTCTTATCAACATCCTTGTTCACCATCACCATGGCAGCGAGAAGTTCACACCTTAGCTGTTGTTGTTGCTACCTGGAAGTGGTGTGTACCAACTCTACTCACATTTCATTGGCCAAAGCAAGTCACTTGGCCACACTCACTTCAAGAGGGCGGTGAAGGCCTGTGATCCCAACTCCGTGTCATGAAGGCCACACAAGGCAGATCAGGTCCATCTCCAGCTATGCGAACAGCCACTCCCAACTGGGCCACCCAAAGCCCCCTTGTGGCCCATCCAAAGAATATCCATCTCTTCCTTCCCCTGGAAGCCCCTCCTCCTTCACAGCATCAACACACAAGAATCTGGGTCAGTCTTCATCTTCCAGCAAAACTCAACTCATCAAGGAATCAGCCTTGACTTTGGTTAGGCATGAAAATCACAACCATATTTCACGTCTGACATCGAGACATTGCGGATCTGGCAAGGAGCACGGGAGAGAGGAAAAAAGGCCCGGGACAGCTGGCTTGGGGCTGGAATGCGATTTATTACCAAATAATTACATGCTATCTGCGGGCTGGGATCACACACTTGAGTTTGTACCACAAGGAGAGTCTGCCCCATGCATTTCCCAGAGCCCATTACCTGGTTTTTCCATCATCATTTGCAATGGGGATTGTGTAGACTCTGAAGGCAAGTCTGTTATGGTATGTATGTGCGTATTTGTGTGAGTGTGAGAGACAGCGAGCCAGAAAGAGAGCTACAAGCAGCCAAGCAGTCAGTGTCTCTTGTGAGCCGAGTCCCTGCTGGTGCCGAGGACAGGGAAGGACAGGTCTCTGTCTTGCTTCTGATCTAGATTTAACAAAAGCCTTCCACGTCCAAAGTGTGTGCTAAGCCTGGCTCCCTATAAGAAGCAGCAAATAGAAACGGCCTCCACCTCGGGGCGGACTTCGTTCTGCTCCAGGGGCCAGTTAAAGGAGACCAATCAGGCCAAGGGGTGGGGGCTCGGGGTTGGAGGGGTGGAGGCTAGGGGCAGAAACAGGCAGAGTTTCAGGCAGACAAAGCAGAGCAAAAGTTCAAGGTCAGAGATCAGCGGGATGATTCAGAGGGCAAACTGGGGCCAGGCAGGAGCTGCTGAGGGGGCAGGATGTTCCTGAGGGGGCAGGATGGGACCATGGGGAAGCAGAGGCTCTTACCAGCTGCATGACCTGGGCAATTCCCAAGCCTCTAGAAGCCTCCGTTTCCTCAACTGTAAACTGAGGTTAATGAGAGCTGCCACGTTATGGGGCTATTGTGGGGTAAGTGAGCTCATGAGAAAAGCCAGCACAGGCCTGGCTCCGAGCAGGTGTGCAGCAGACAAGGCCCTGCCCTGCTCTCTGGGCCCATGACTGCTGTGCCCCTGGGCCCTGGGGTGGGGTGGGGCCTGGCGAGAAATCCTCCCTCCCTCACACCCCAGCCTGTGTGAGCTGCGGAATGGGGAGGAACCTTGTCCGGGAAAATCAAGTCCAGAGGGACACAAGTTACCTGGTGGGCAGAAGCCTAAGGAAAGCTCCCCTCGGTTTTCAGTCTTTTGCATCCCTTACTGTCCGGCAGTGTGATGAGGGTGGGGGTTCTGGAGGCACAAGAAGTTCCAGAGCCTGCCCTTAGGAGGTCATAATCTAAATGGGAGGAGGCAGGTGGCTTACTACCCAGAAAACAAGGAAAAGAAACCATGGTTTGCAGCAGGAAGGGCTCCTGAACGCCCTGGAGGGGTTCATGGGGCGCAGCGGGTAGCAAATGCAGGGTCCTAGAGACAGAAGCAGCAGGCCGAGCTGGAGGGGGTGGACATCTGAGCTGAGGAATTATGGTGAGTGTAAACAGAAGGGCTCTGTGGTTCTGTTTGGTCAGGGGCGGGGAGTATAGCCAAAGCACCTAGAGATAAGTACTTCCGGAGACAGGACAGGTGCTGGGGAATGTGGGATGCTGAGTTCACACCCCCCAGCTGCAGACAGGGGAAGGGCATGTCTCTCTGGGTGGGGTCCCCCCCCCCCCGTTCTATCATAGGCCTGGGGACAGGACCTCACTTTACCATCCCACAGCCAGGCCCCGGCTGTGTTGACAAACGTGCCCTTCCCCCTGGCCGGAGGAGCCGAGATGTGGCATTGTTAACTGGAAGTGAGTCACAGAGCTTTTCCTTCCTTCTCTTCCTCTCCACTTTGTCTGCCTGACACCTTGGGCATTCTTTTTCTTTCTCTCTCTCTGACACACACACACACACACACACACACACATGCCTGCCTTTCAAAATCCGTGAACTATAAATAAGTAGTCTATAGTCTATCAGCATAAACACCCCATCCAGCCAGTGCGTGGGGGGTGGGGGGGTAGGGGCTTGGCTCAGGGTTCCGGGGGGTGTGTGTATCCGTAGAGTGAGTGCCCATGTGCATGTGCACACAGGTGTTGAGTCTCTGACGTGCTGGGTGTCGCTGAATGTCTGAGCTCATCTGTGTGGTTGAGGTCAGGAGTGGGGTATCTGTGAAGGGAACTGTGGCATGTATGTGTCTGTGAGGTTGTGGTTGGAAGAAAGTTTCCATGGGGGGGCTGGGCCTTCACCGGTTGTGGGGATGGGCAGAGGTGTATGTGTTGTGTGTCTGTACCACAGAGGGCAGGGTGTGGGTGGCGAGAGTGTATTTGTGCCCGAAGTGTGTCCTCATGGATATCCGTGTTGTGGAGGCGGTGGGTGCAGGGCGTGGAGGAAGTGTTTCTGTCTGGGTTTGTGTGGGTGTTGGGGGTGTCCATGCCTGGAGATCCAGCCTTGCCTCTGGCTCTGCAGGATGTGAAAGGACTTGGGTTTGTGACTGAGGCCAGTGTCGCACTCTCTAGTTACATTTCCCTCAGCCTGGCTGGAGGGTCGGAGATAAACCCAAGTCAGCATTTGTGGCTGTGGTGGGGGTGGTGTGACAGTCACGGGGTCTCCAGGGGTTCTCCAGGGGGTAGGGAAGCTCATCAGACAGAGCACCTGGCCTAGGAAAGAAGGCAAGGCAGGGCCTTGTTCCCTCACTCCCTCCTGCTCTCCCTCACCTGGGTCCACCCTCCACGCAGAGTCCAGCCAGAGAGAAGGGGCACCAGGAGCACAGGGCCTGCCGGCCACCACCAGGCAGGACTCAGCTCGGGCATCCCAGAGGGACTCCCCTCTACCAGCACGTGAATCTGTCCCCTCCTTATGAGCCCCTTCCAGCGGACCCTGTTCTCTGCTAGACCGTGAACCCCAGAAGGCAGGGCTTCTCTCTCCTCTTTCTCCTCCCAGCCTCAGACTCCCCACGTGTGAAAGGAAGACAATGACATCTACGGACAGAGTTAGCTGCACCCCAGGGGAGAAGGAGCGACACGCAGCAAAGGGGAGCTCAGCACCTTCCTTCTCACCAACCCTGCCTCCAGAGAAACAGGCCAGCCAGAGCCTGGCGGGGGCGGGGTGGGGGGGGTGCAGGTCCTATGGCCATCTCTAGGGGGCGCTGACAGGCAGCCAGCACACGTGCCAGCTCCTGTCCCTGGATTAAATGGGCAAAAAACAGGGCAGGCCTGAGGGAGAGAGGGGCTTGAGGGTCTGTGTGATGGGGGACAGAAGTTCAGTGGGGCCTGATGGAGGACTTGCTGTAGGATGTGTGACTTCTGTCACCCACCAGCCGTAGGAGGAGCACTAGGCGCCCCTCTGAGAATTCAGTCCCAGGACTGGGCTCCATGGAGGGGATAGTCAGGTTGTGGTTGGATGCTTGATTTAGGCCCCGCTTCTCCTGGGATGGTGGAGGGAGAGCAATGAGGGATAATTGGGGTCTGCCTGCTTTCGCTCTCCTCTGCAGGCCTCACCAGGCACGCCCTCCCCTAGTGGCAGCAGACAGGGTGAGGAACCATCCCCAGCATGGCCCCTGGAGGGAAGGGTCGTGGGGGGAACTCCGGCCTTCCAAACCCGGCTGCCTTCTCCTGGGATGTACCCCCATGACTGGCGGCCCGTGAGAGCAAAGCCATGCCCCTCTGCCCCATGCGACCAGGCTCCCTGTGGGCCTGCATTGCCAGGAGGGAGGCGACTCCAGGGTCAATTCTGAATTCTGGGGGGTGGTCCCGGCCCAAGGAGGTGGTGCCTTCCTCCAGCACTGCCCATCCATAAAGGGCATTTGTG